TGACGACAGGTCAGGTCCATATGAACAGGATCCTTCCATCATTTTCTCGGTCTGGGACCTGTTCATATACGTTCTTGGCAGATGATCCAGAAGTGGTTTGCCATTGCCTTCTTCTGTGTGTGAATGGAGTAATTGTTGGGATGCCACGGAGGAAAACTCCACGGCCTTGCCCAACACAAGTTATAAATCCGGGCACATGCTCAATATGACCACCGCTTTGTCGTGTCATTTATGTAAAATTATACGAGTATTTAAACGTCCAATCGGTTATCGTGCGCCAAGCTGTACCACCACAGTTTCTCTTAAGTTTCAGAAATCCGAAAGATATAAAATATAACTTCAAAGGCTGGAATCCTGGTCATAATGGATTCCTGAATACACAAGAAAACTTTCATGCAATTTTGCAAATTTGTACGCGAGCCAAGCGGATGTCTGAATTCCATTCTACTTAAGCGACATTTTATATTGGAACTTCTTCAGCTGATTAGTTCCGCTGGCTTTCTAGGGTGCTTAATAAACTTATTACATTGCTTACGTGTTATAGCCTATCTGTATTTGAAAATGGCCGTCTTCTGGGTTGTTGGTCACTCATTCCTTAAACGTCTACCTTACTACACGTCGCAACAGCCCAGAAGACAACCAACTTTATATTTGCCGCCCTGGGGACCTGAAATCTCACCAATCTGTCTTTGTTTGCAGAGGACATCAAAGCCTTGAAAGGCTTCGAAATTCCACCCAATCAGGAAGCAAAGGTAGGTTAGTTTAGGGGTACGGGTTACGATGACTTCAGTAGATTGAAATACGCCACGATCGGTTTCTGCGTGTCCACCAACTGTGGTCGCCTTCCAGTCTATTAGGACGCTACACGAATGTTTCAACTCAAGTGGCGTAGTTAAGTAAACAACATCCATCAGAAGCCAAAATTAATTTACTTTATCGACATTACCTCAATTACAGAGGTCACACACCGTCCAATGACGGAAAAGTTATGAATTATGCACCAGACTGTACGCAAACAAAACTAGTTATCTTGGAATGTTTAATGTATTTTCCCAGCCCTTCTTGGAGACTGGGAAAAACCGCGAAAACGTAATGATGACTGCTGGACTCCGGACAGAAAACTGAACATGGAACATATACAGGATGATTCAAAAGGTTAGGGCCAAACTGAAGAGGGACTCAGAGAGAAAAACTTTCGAAGAGGAATCCATGTCCTCCGAAGTCATCCTGGGTCATTCCAGGCCATTGAAGGTAGGGAAGTCTGATAACATACCGCTGAGATAATTTGGTTAGTAAGATTCCTAATGTAATCCTTGTATATTAATTAAAATCAAAATTAAGCCAGTAGGAGAATAGCAAAGTACGATTATTTCAGACGTCCCTACCTTCAATGGCCTCGACTGACTTAGGATAACGTCGGAGGACATGGATTCCTATTCGAAAGTCGTTCTCTCTGAGACCCTCTACACGCTCCTTCAGTTTGGTCCTAACCTTTTGAATCACCCTGTATAAATACTAACACATTACACCGATGCAGCGGCTTTATGGTCATTGACAGTAAAACTTAAAACTTCACGGTTTTAAGAACACCTTCGCCCTCCAGAGAACAAATTCTTTCCTGCTCTCGGAGTGGGCGATGTCACTTCAGACTTACAACCGGGGAGAACAAAATCTGAGGCTGAAGAGACGGAAATCCTTAAGCAAGTCTTTCGTGGTGTTACTCAGCAATGACACGTAAGTTATTTTTAAAAATAAAATAAAATAATATTGTCGTATATTTTCCTCTCTTGCAGTGTTTCGCTGGTTGCGTGTACGCAAAACTCGGTATGGTAAGTAATTGTACCGTCTATGAATATCTTAACTATTTCTTTATCAGGCCTTCATTAGCAAGCTCTGTCTCAAAATATGGACCATTGATTCATAAGAGATAACGGTGTGGTAAAGACTCACAATATTTCGAATCATTAACTCAACCCGCGAAACGTGTTTGATAAAAACCCTAAAAACATTATATTGAGACCCAAAAGCGTACGATATTAACCGTGTGAGTCATTATCTATAGCCTATAACAATAATAATAATATGTGATTTATTTAGTGTTCTGTCTGACGACAGGTCCATATGAACAGAATCCTTCCATCCTTTTCTCGGACTGGGACCTGTTCATATACGTTCTTGGCAGATGATCCAGAAGTGGTTTGCCATTGCCTTCTTCTGTGTGTGAATGGAGTAATTGTTGGGATGCCACGGAGGAAAACTCCGTGTTGCCTCGACCACGGCCTTGCCCAACACCAGTTATAAATTCGGGCACCGCCGGGAATCGAATCCGAGACCCCAGGATTACAAGGCCAGCGTTCTAACCGCTAGACCACCGCATCTTATTATTTATTGTTCTGTCTGAAGACAGGTCCATATGAACAGAATCCTTCCATCCTTTTCTCGGACTGGGACCTGTTCATATACGTTCTTGGCAGATGATCCAGAAGTGGTTTGCCATTGCCTTCTTCTGTGTGTGAATGGAGTAATTGTTGGGATGCCACGGAGGAAAACTCCGTGTTGCCTCGACCACGGCCTTGCCCAACACCAGTTATAAATTCGGGCACCGCCGGGAATCGAATCCGAGACCCCAGGATTACAAGGCCAGCGTTCTAACCGCTAGACCACCGCATCTTATTATTTATTGTTCTGTCTGAAGACAGGTCCATATGAACAGAATCCTTCCATCCTTTTCTCGGACTGGGACCTGTTCATATACGTTCTTGGCAGATGATCCAGAAGTGGTTTGCCATTGCCTTCTTCTGTGTGTGAATGGAGTAATTGTTGGGATGCCACGGAGGAAAACTCCGTGTTGCCTCGACCACGGCCTTGCCCAACACCAGTTATAAATTCGGGCACCGCCGGGAATCGAATCCGAGACCCCAGGATTACAAGGCCAGCGTTATAACCGCTAGACCAGCGTGGCGGTAATATGTTATTAGATAAAAAAATTATTGCAAGAAACATTTCTGAAATGTTTTATCATATTGGCCCGTAGCATACACCGCCATTATAAATTCTGAACTTGTCTCTTGAATTTAAGTTATATTAGGCCATCACAAATAATAACTCTCTAAATGTTCGCAGATAAATGGAAATGAGTTCGAACCCACGCAATTCAAGGCAAGAGTACGGGAGTGGTTACAGAAGTACCCGGAGAAATACCAGAAGGTCGAGGCAATGCTGGACACGTGCAAAACCAAGGGTACGTAAAGTTAACGCGTATCTGTGACTCTGATTGAGCTCGAAGGACACGTAATTATTAGCGTGGAAAATTTAATGACGTTTAAGTTTTGGAAATCTACCTGAATGAGAGCGTTTCATTTGCTCTCTGTCAACTATCTGTAGAGGCATGTAGTAGGGAAATGTGGACATTAGGTAAAGTGAGGATTCGCACCCTTTCATTTTTCCTGAAGATGGAAACAATTGTCAGCCTCGAAACGTCGTACTTGGATTTCACAGAATTAATTACGTAAAAAAGAAAACATTTAAACGGATAATAACTCAGCCAATAAAATGTAGACATTCAAGATAAGCAGCAGAGATTACAGTAACTTTTAATCCGAAAAATAAACGATAGATTTTTGCTTTAACCCTGGAAAGCCATAGGAAATCCAGACGGGGGCTGAATCCTATATACAAGGCCGTGACTTTATCAACACCAGACTAATAAAAGAGCCTGTAAAATATCACGGAAATTAGAACAAAAATCATGAAAACTTTGATTATATGTGATTTCCGATTAAAACGATGTATACATTTCTTGTTTCTGTCATGTATATTAAATTCCCCGTCATCTTGTTCAAATTTATATTGTAGTATTAGTATTTTGTGAAGAGTGTAACGCATGAAGTTCCTAATTTTGAAAGTTTTCAGTCGCTTGAATCCAAATATTTCAATCGGCGTATTAATTTACTTCTGAGGAGACCAGGCATCAATGCTCATGTGCCTTTGTGATTCGCAGTTAAGGAAGCCAACCCCAACGGAGGTGACGAGTGTCATCTGTTGCCGAGTATCATGGAGTGTTTCCATTCCCATCAAGAGGAGGTAAGCCATTATCGGAAGATCGCAGAGTACGTACTCAACTTTTGTAAAACTGCAGGACAAACTTACAGGAGCAAATCCGTTACCACAAACAGAAACCAAACAATAATTTCGAAAAGTAAACAGCATTACTTCCAAAATACGTTTTGTCTTCTGCATAATTGTAAATAACATTATTTATTTTGATTTCATAACGTTACAAATTCATTTCTACTACCTATAACAAAACTAAGGTAAAGGAACAGGATATAAACTTTACGTAAGGGCATAATCGAGCCGATAATTGGCCGCCTGTCTAGGCCCATGGCTCAGCGGATATCTTAAGACATTATAATTGGATTTAAATTCGTCTCGCATGCGCAATATTCAAAACCAGAATAAAGAAACCCCAGCAAAGTAGACGACCATCAACGTTTTCCTCAGATAGGAATCGCATTGTAATTTTTCCCTGTACTTAAGAATTACTCCACGAAAGCATTTAAGGGGCGGGAAGGTACTTTTCCACTCAATCTTCACTTGGACAACGCAAGGCGAGAAGAAACAGATTCTACATTCCAGCCTGCTTACTCACCACAAAATAGTCCCTCATACCGACGTTCCTACTTACATTTTCACACCGAATTACAGAGAACCTGTCCATGAGACAGACGCCGCTCCCAGGAATCAAACTAAGAGTGCCCACATAATTTTTAACCTCCAATTTCAAATTCGTTCACTTTAAAGGGCGTTTTAAAAATTTCAGATTTTGCCTTTTTACGTATATAAACTTTGAGATGATAAAGTTGCGTCATTGTATAAAATTATATAAACTTAAATATAATTTCTTAAATGCAACTTTTAGTCATGTTTATCAGATTTCAAATGATGTTGCATTTAAGACATTATATTTAAGTTTATATAATTTTATACACCTGAAGATGGTTCTTTTAGAACTGAAACATGTCGTGTAAAAAGTGTTGATTTAATGTAAATCGAACATTTCGATAGAGATCATCATTTAATATATTTTAAATATTTAAATGTTAATTATAGTAATATTTTAATATTAATAGGAATTTTATTGTGATTAGACTGACAAGATTTAAACAAATATATATAAACTTTATTAAAATGCTTGTAAAAATTATTTAACTTCCTAAACATTCGCTGACCCTCTGATTAGGCGTCACGGACCCCAGGTTAAATATCGCTGTTCTAAACCATTCTGAGATTATCGCGATAAGCTTCTAGATCCATGATTAATGATCGGTTCTTCCTTTCGCCTTGACATTCCACACGCGTTGTTCGTATCAGCAGGTCTTCGGAATTCACTTTCATTACATCAACTGGTACAGAAACGTCAAATGCAAACATTATTATTATTATTATTTATTCTACCACGTGGTAGTCACGGACTCCAGGTTAAAAATCGCTGTTCTAAACCATTATGAGATTATCGCGATAAGCTTCTAGATCCATGATTAATGATCGGTTCTTCCTTTCGCCTTGTTCGTATCAGCAGGTCTTTAGAACTCACTTTCTGGTACAGAAACGTCAGCATGCAAACATTATTATTATTTATTCTACCACGTGGTGATGTGATGACCTGGGACATACACTACCTTCAGGTGGGCAGGCAAACGCTTTTACGTAACATATTCACCATTTAAATTTGACTTATGGTTTACAGACGGACAGCTTCAGGAAATTCCTAGCGTCCGTGTATGGATCCTGAGCGTGAAACAAGCGGACGGACACGATTGATGAGTGACACAACCACCAAGACATGGATAATGCACCATTTAATCGTAATGAATCTTAATTCCGATATGTGGGAATTAATTTCTTATGTACAGGTAAATTCTTCGGTAATCCCGATATGTGGGAACAAATTTCTTATGTACAGGTAAATTCTTCGGAATAAATAAAAATCAAAGAAACTTTATCCTTACGAAAACAATATTTATACAGAATATAATAAAAATGGAGGCTGAATTTCAGTCACAGTGAGACAAAGATCACCTAACGACCTTAACGCGTCCCTACTCCATTAGTTAACAAACTAATATCGCATTATTAGTTAACCAATCAGAGGATGGTATCATATTTCTGGCCTTCACAGTGATCCAGGGTTAATGTGGCTCTTATTTGGCGAATGGTGACAGACAATATCATCTAACGGTGAGTTGTTGGAATTCTAATATTTCTGTACGAATATCAGGACAGGCAGAGCTCCACGTGGGATTCTGTTCAAGTTCTTTTGTTGTCGTTTGCGAGTTTAGAGGCGCGTAAATTTCTAATGCCTCTAAGATTACGTATTCTTGATAAAAATAAAATTCGATGGCTTTAAAAAAACCGACATGCAACTGTACACTAAGCATGGCCGATTGATAAAAACAACACGAAGAATGACCACACGCAAGGTCGAACAGAGGACAGCATTGACCCTAAAACGCGACAGAACTTAATTTCCCACGCCGTGAAAGGTTTTGCTGACTTAAATGCGTTTAGGAGCATGGGTTAATGTGGTACTTCACAATACGCGTTTATAAATTAAGTTTCTTTCGTGAATCATGACATGGCTCTCCCCAGTAAATTCAATCAGTTCTGTACAGGGCATTTTCAAAGACTTTATTACTTACCAAACGACCTCAGACGTCATTAAATTACCTTCTTCCTAGGCCGATCCGTTTTCTATGGAATTATATAAATGGTTTTCGACTTCGTACGGCAACGCAAATCCCGAAAGACAGAATTGGACGAGCGAAACAAAGTTAAACCGAAGCGGAAGGATTTGCGGAAAGAATGGAATTAATACGTCCAGACAAATGTAATTTAATATTATCCCGGGAAGAACACCTTAATCAATATGGCGAAGCAGCGAAAACTGCAACTTAATAATCTCGATGCTATAAACACATAAAACGTTGAAGCTTCGTTTGGGTCGCCATCTGACACCACGACCACGAGAACAACGTCCACACGAATTACGATTATTTATTCACATTTTAAAATATACACGCAGCTATAAAATAACACTTTTATGACAGAAAACAAAAGAAAAACCACAAACATTGGGCGGATACACGGTTCTTCTGTTACAACGTGCGAATAATTATTAAACAAAACACTTTCGAAGAGCGCAATTATCTGTCCTTATGTTCCACCTCAATAATTCGCGTGTAGGCGACCTTGGCAAATAGTAGCCTTAAAACATATGACGCTAGAGCGTGGTTTTATGAAAATCCGTCTAGTTCAAAACTCAAATTGTAATTTGCACTTCAGTGTCATGTTGTGGATAAAATCAAGGTTTTGTATTATTCTCGTCTACACACAACAATCAAATAACCTTCACGTGTTACTTATTTCATGAGCAAAATTTGGTTGCATTATTAAAGGTCAGTTTACTACGTCTCTGTCTGGTGATATCGTCAGTTATTAATATTTACGTCAAATTCAGGATTTGAAAAAAAAAAAAATGTTATATGGTAACACATCTATTATTCAAAATAAACACACGTAAAAATATGGAACACATACAATTTTAAGGATGAAATATGAATATAAGACACGTATATATAAGAATATGTTTTTTTATTTAATCGTATAAATAATTGGGCACAGATGTGTGACATACAGAATAAGTATAATGAAATGGACGTTTATAATATATATTACATGTTATGAAGCCACTTATTCGATATAATCAATCAATATTTCTCAACCGGAAGTATAAATATTCATTACGTTTAGCTCGAGTTACACTTCTTTGTAGGTTGTACAAATACAGTGGATTTTTGGTTAATTGGGACACATCGGGACTAGAACGCTTTGGCCCAATTATGCGAAGTTACACGTAAAAAAATGTTTGCTCTTTAAGATTTGTCCCTAAATAAACGTCTGCCCCGATTAACACCGGAATCTACTGTATTCATTCGGTGCTAGAACATTCCATGGACCGAGACAATTCTCGCGACAAGTTCGTCGATACCGAATGCGGTGTTGGGTTGGGTTATGTTAAGTTAGGTTAGGTTAGGTTGGGTTATGTTAAGTTAGGTTAGGTTAGGTTGGGTTGGGTTAGGTTAGGTTAGGTACGGTGACACGAGGTTGAAAATTAGTGGACAACGTTTCTGTCACAATTGTAAGATCTACAAGTACAAGAGCACTGACATACGCCTCACTTTGCCGGTTACGACATCCGAACATGTCGACCGGGAGAGAAAGGCCTTCGCTCCCCAACGCATGCTGGGCCTTGGAATGGAAGCCTTTACATGATATTAGGTTCTCCAGTGTAGAGTGAGCTTCACGCAGAAGATTTTGGCATCGATCGATAAATCGGAGGATAATATTTTTCATTCAGTGGCTGAAAGAGTACTTTATTCCAAGAAAACAGCAGGAAAAGTGGTGATACTTCAAGATGGCCACACTGCGCACTGCACTGACCCGGATACGTCGGATCTGGCTCAAGAGAACGGCATAATTATGGTTTGTTTCCCATCTCATTCCGCTCAACCCCTTGATCGGTGTTTCTTCAAACCCCTGAGGCACATTTTCTTCGGGGAAACGCGCGTTTGGGCGCAATCTCACCCGGGTCTGCACCTTTGCCCACTCTGGATTTGAAACCTGTGGCATGAATCCACGTAATCCAGAAGAAACACCGGAGGAGAACTTTTCTCGATATCCGACGCGTCTCTGTCTGGAACGCCTGATGACAGCCACCAAACCGCAGAACGCATTCTTCCTCAGACACTGCACCAGTACTTACCTTCGATCCACTACCAAAGTGGAGGACGAAATCAGCTGCCGTGCTGACAGACGAGGATAATTTAAACCAAGCAAAAATGCGTCAGAGGAAATCTACAAAAAAAGTGTTTACACTCTGAAAAACACTTACTCGGTTCTTCAGAATGCTTATCCCCTATCTAGAGGACATGAGAATACGATCTATTGGATTAATCTGGTTAATACCTTCCTGTCCTGGTGGTTTCCAGAACCGACTGAAGAATTCTTAAACAACTTTGCTTATATATTTCAGATAAATACTCGACACCGCATGTACGCGATGTTTTAAGACCACTGCAAAAAATAGGAATGAAAATAAAAACTGCGTAATACGTAAAGTCAATCAATACGAGAATTGGGCACGTAAAACTTGCACTAACGCAGCAGACACGTGATAACCGCGATGATTAGCATTGTAAGAGAATAAAATGACGAGGAAGTACGCGTTGTTCAACATTACTTAGATACCGATGTTACCAAACAGTTTATGGCCGCAGGGACTCGAATTACGTCACGTCGCGGAGGTCGCATTAACGATCGCGGGGCGAACGCCCGAGATTTCTGTGTTAAGATTTCCTAACACGATACAATTGGTGTAATCAGCGCACAGGTGATATATTCATCAGGTTCGGCGCACACGACGCAAACAGGAAACATTTCAATATAGCCAGGGCCAGTTCTCAGATTTATCGCAAAAATATTTAATAAGTCATTAGCTTTAAATTATTTTCCTACCCAGTGAAAAGACGCTAAAGTTATCATGCTCCCGAAACCAAAAAAGGACCATTAAATTATAGGCCAATAAGTTTATTAAATTCCCTAGGCAAAAGTTTTAGAGAAAATCATCTCGAAAAGCCTGAGTGGTTTTAAACGTGGACATTCCACAACGCACACACTTTTAAGAAATATAGAGAGAATCACTCACGGATTTAACAATAAGAAAGCTACAGTGGCATTTTTCCTGGACACAGAAAGAGCATCTGATAAAGTTTGGATCACGGGGCTAACAGCAAAACTCATTAAAGTCAAAATTCCGCCTCACCTAATCCACGTAATTCACAGTTACCTCCAGAACCGATCATTTTCTGTTTCACATGGGAGCTCTCACTCAAGCTGCCGCCCCATCAGGGCCGGCGTTCCCCAGGGTAGCCTACTCGGGCCAACACTTTTTAACATCTACATAAATGACATTCCGTCCACTGAAAATGACTCCAACGTATCCATCTCGATCTATGCAGATGACACGAAAATTAAACAGAGCAATAGGCCTTCTCGAACCCTGGTTTCGGAGACGGAGAATTAAGATCAACATCGACAACTGCACCACGACGGTGTTTTCAAAACGTTTACGAGACCATCGCTGCTCTGTTCCCACCGTAAATTTTTTTAATAAAACCGTAGCTTTTACCTCCGAAACCAAATATCTGGGTGTCATTCTAGATTCCAAACTGACGTACAAGGACCACGTATAACCCATTCTCCGTACGGCAACTATTTCCTTTACTAAATAAATCCTCCAGAATGGATGTAAATTTATCGTTAATGATCTATAAATCACTCCTCCGGTCCATACTGACGTATGCCTCCCCCGCCTAGGGCTACGCTGCTAACACTCATTTAAAAAAACTTCAGACATTTCAGAACAAAGTCCTCAAAATAATAACCAAATTGCCAAGCGTTACTCCAATTAGAATACTGCACGAGCAGACCGGAATGCCGTCGATCAATTACGTTAAAGGATTAGCGAATAGACTGTACTCAAAATTGGCCACCAGCTACAACAGCCAAATTCAAGAGCTAGGTCAGTACGATCCCAGCATTGACAAATACCCCTGCCCCCGAGCCCTCCTGCAGAATCCTCCAATCCTTTCGCTCATGTAGTACATCGTTCTGAAACATCAGCCTTAAAATTTCCTTCACCTCCTGCAAAAACGCAGCTAAACCTCAGCTTTTCTTTTGCAGTCCCCACTACAGAGCACCCCGGAGGGTCCAGTCCATAGGCGGTCACATCGACCGCTCCCCTACGCTGGACCGACCGTGAACCAACGGACACAAGACGACCGCGGCAACTCGACCAAGGTTTTCCATCGGTGAAATGTATTAAAATTAACAAATATTCCTGTTGAGCTTTAGGCCAAAAACTGATGGGAGTGCAGAGGATACGTCATCCACACATCCATCAGTTTTTTTAAAAAGTTTTTCGTAATTGTTTTCATCCACGCCACGTTCCACGGAGTGTCTATCAACAACGGTGGTGTAGGGTTCTGAAAGGGTCAATGGGGGGTGGGGGATAAAAAGTGTATCTAGAAGTTCCTTGAATGTACCTGCCGGACGGCTTGTCCTTTGATTGTGCTTAAATCTTCATCGGAGAAGCTGCTGGTGTACTTCTCCACAGGAGGGGTACTTCTTCAGGATACTCAATTCAGAAGCGTAACTGCACAGCTGTCGACGTGTGGCAAGCGCAGGTACCCCCGATTCTGCGTACAAACCCTCCACTCTGCATGTTCTGAAAGCCAATGTACAGAGACGTATTTCAGAATTGTAGATAAGATCATGTATAGATAAAAATTCTTTCAGATGCACAGTACATAATGATCCGTAGTCGACCCGCGAGCAAACGAGATAGCCGAACAACCTGAACACTGTTGTTCTGCTTGCTCCCCAGGTGCCACCGGTTAAAATATGAAAGATTTCCAGTGATCACTGGGAATTTAACCAAAGTTGCCAAATGCGTGGTTCTCATGTCAGGCGTTGGTCTGAAACCAATCCTACAAATCTGAAAGTCTCTGCAGATGGGACAGGACTGTTGTAAATAAAAAGTCTGGGGTAGGGACTCTATTTTATATCGATATTAATAATTTATTCCGTAATCTGTGTTTTCGTTGTGATAAAATGTAGTGGAATATTGCAGCGGGATGAAAAAACTCAAAATCCTTGTTGGATCTTGCCAAAGCTCTTTGAACAAACGGCGAAATTCCTCAAAACACTGCACGACTTCTGTCGATATCACGTGCGCATATTCTTATTATTTAACAACTCTCTTTTTATTGTAGATTATCTAGAAGCCACCACCTGCAAACTGTTGTTACCACGGAGAATAGCTGTCGCCCAAATTAAAAAAACCTAAATCCATCCTTTCCATCAAATGATATCGATCACGTCAACATTACACTGACCCAGAATATCGGGACAGCCTACAAACACCTATCTGCAACCCTGTTCAACGCAAGGGAGTGAAAACAGCAGTGCCGCCCGTGCCTCGTGGCCGAATGCAGACGAGGCACCGTGAGGATGGTGCCACGAATTACTGCGATAACAACACAAAGAGTTCAGCTACTGAGTGCAGATTCTGTTCACAGGGGCAGCAAAGGGCAGGGGGCACCCACGCCTAATTGTTATTATTCCTCGCAAGAATGTCAGCGCCTGGCGACTCGAGTGCGACTGTTGGTATAAAGAGACGCGCACGAATAAAGCCAAAATATTTTCCGCTAACTTACCGTTAGCCGATTGTGACTAATAGGCACGGCATGAATTAACCTCGGCTGTACATTTGTGACTCCATCTTGAAAGTGGGATTACGTCATGTCACACCTGTGAAAGAACATAGAAATCTTGTACGTTAAGAATGTAAAATATTAGAAATGGCAACAAAGCCTATGCCGACGTTGCTATTTGCATGAGTTCTTACCTGATCCAAAGTGAGTTTGGATTTATCTGCTTGGAGACAAAGCCACGTGGAAGGTGCGTCAAATGACTGAGCTGGGTTTGGGTTAAACTCAGTTTCATAAGGAATGTGCCACGATCCGTCACTGCTAACTTGAGCCATCGGACTGAACGTCAAAGGGAACTGAAACAAAGCAGAAACATCCTAATAGTTCTATGAATCTGCATAAGAAACCTTTCGTGGAATAAAATATTTCTATTTAATTAATTAATCTTGTCCGTCTAATCACAATTTAAAATTTAAAATTAAGATAATTAAAGAAAGTGATGTTCCAAATGTAAATCGAATGTTTCGATAAGGAGCATCACATGGTATTTTAATTATCTTAATTTTAAATTTTAAATTGTGATTAGATGGACAAGATTAATTAATTAAATATATATTTTCACAATATGACGCAACTCTATCATCTTAAAAATATTTCTATGTGAGCGAGGTAGACATCGCAGAAACTGAAACACGGCTAAGGAACATCTCAGCAACTGTACGCAGATTCTAGACACCGCATAAAAGCACTGGTACCATTACACTCCGATACAACAACGGCTCCATGGAGTTAGTTACCGATTATAATTTGCTCGTGCGAAGTAAGCGAGAAACGGCTCGCGCTATCCACTGCAGCATTTACAAATTACATCTTGTAGCTGAGACAGCAGTTACTATCATGCGGACAGAGTGGGCAGTACACTGGTACGTGGCACTTTTAGCACAACCCTTGACGGCTGAAAGATCACCACTCAGCACCAAAAGTGTCAGAAAAACTAACATTAAAGACAAAAAAAAGTGATAAATTACTAAAATGTGGCATAAATCTGTATAAGCAAGCACCGTGGTTCATAAAACTGCGGTATCGAGAAACACTAGTACGGCGTGCGCTGCTGCACACCAAATAAGGAACCATCCTGAAAGAACAGTGAGGCCGAGAACGTCGACATATGACAGTATACCCGTCGCAGGAAACGGGAAATCATGAAAACCGAGCTTCTTATGTAGTCGAACAACTGATACGGCTTGCGTCAACGCTGTTACCGAGCCTACTGCTGCGTCTTATATATACTCCCACGTGTCGCACTTTGTGCTATACAAATTGCACATCTTGAACTTTCAACCTAAAATTTTAGAGAAATGGTGTGCATGGTATTTGGAAAAGCACGGTAAATGTACCATAAATTAATGCAAAATCCCACAAAAAGTTAATGGAATAGTCAGTAAATCTCAAGTAATCTTTAAATTTGTCGCTGTACCAAAAGTATGCTTAGTGTCCAATAAATACAGACTTTCTCTGTTACCTTCAGGTGCACTTTCCCGGCTTCAGAAATATATCTGAGCTGACACTGATGTTTCAGTTGCCACCGTCTAAACGTCGATCTAAGACTTTGACTCCGCAGACAGTACGCATGACCTCGCATGAGATCCTTAGAGAGGAACTTCGTCCCTAAGCCACTATACAGGGCAGCATAGAGCAACAACGGGTCATCCTGAGACCTGTCGTACAATTAAAACACATTAATACAATACGATGTATGGGGTAGTCAAGACATTTCCTCGGCTGGCTCTACGGCGCTGCATCCAATAATCGCTAGTTTGGATGGCTCTTACGTATGGGAGGGAAGAGAAGTCGGCACACGTGGTCCTTCCTTGCGCACTATCAAATGTGAAATTATTATGTTCATGCTGTAGGAGTAGCGCGTGCAAGTTTAGGCATGTGCCTGCATCGCCAGTGTTTTATTGTTCATTTGGTTCACAAAATATAATGCAAAATTATAGGGGGGGGGGGAATGTTTTGAATACACGAGAGACTCTTTGCCTTGTGCCTTCTATCTTCTCTTCCCCTCTTTCAATGACGTAGCCGAAGGCAGTTATTTTGCATCCACTGTATATTGAAATTTGTTACTCATTTGACATGCAATCAGTTTTTAATAATTTTTACGAATAAAAACAAAGTTTAAACAACAAATTTTGCCAGCGATTAGCAAATCTGCTTATGAAAACACTGGAAATAATCCATGAGGTATACATAGAAGATTCCCTGTCTCATGTTTGAACGGGATTGTAGATTAAAAGAAAGTTTAGCAGATGACGGCCATGCTTGTACGCCAAAGAACGCTGAAACAGCTTAACAATCCCTTCTTCATGACCAAACTTGTCTAAGCTTTGAAAATTTCACATGGAAACTGAACAAGCTTGTAATGGCCGCAACTAAAGATTTCCGGCTAGTATTTGAGAGCGACAGCTCGTAAACCCCTGTTCTGAGCGCAGAGAAACTTGCATTCCGTCACCATAAAAAAACGAAGAACTATTTTGTCCCTTTTAAATCACAATTTATTTCTTCTTTGTAACTTACTCAGAAAATAATAATCCTTTCTTTCTTTTAATACCTAACATGTCAGATTTGTACGCATGGAATCAGCTACCAACATCTTAAAAAAGAAAACCAACTGCAAGTGTCAAAACCTGGTACGCTGTAAAATGAGTTTTCTGTGCTCTTACTACGTGAACTGAAAGCTACTTACAGATTCTGAGCCAGGAACACATGAGAATTTCTATATATGTAATCCATGTAGCGTGGCGGCCAGGACTGCATGTGCTTCCGTCCGAGAACGAGGACTTTCTTTGATTTATTCACAAAATACTTTACAACGTGATGTAACTGCAAAAGTAAAATGCCCTTTCAAAATTCAAACATAACTTTTACTATCAACATCAACAGCATCTAAATGGCTTACACGAAGAAGATTAGAATATTTTGTCAAGTAGAGAGGTTTCAAACATCTGACCAAATTACGGCGAAAACTGTTTCCAGCGATGAATCAAGTGCTGAATGTTTTGATCAAACAGAGAATAGAAAATTTGACATCGGTTCCCACGACGAGTACAGCTGTTAATAAGCAACATTAGGAATCTGACGAGCCAAACAAATCAATACAAAGTCATCATAATAAAACAGGGCTTGCCAGGGTCATCGGGCAGTGCCGAATGTTTGTTCAATGCTCCAGAAGCCAAAGGTTTTTTCAACTTGTTTGACAACAAATGACTGATGAAATACAAAAAAAAAGACCAAAGTAAAACTTTAGTCTGCAAAACAGGGTGTTAGATTCAACTGGCTCAAGACAGGGTCCAGTGACAGGCTCTTATGGGTGTCGTAAACAGTGGAAAATTTCTCGGCCAGCACGAGTACGGTCAAGGACTCTACAGCGAGCCACTTACTTTGATTCCAAACATACACGAGGATCACAATGTTTAAATAATTGTAATGCTTCAAGTTACATTTTTTAAAGATCAGACGGCCTCTCGATATGAAGCGTAATATAGATTCGAACAAATCGTTGTCAGTATACTCACTGTTCGTGCATGGGACTGGGGTGACTGGGCCTTCTTAGGACCACCCGTGAACGCAATATTTAATCCATCGATTACCATGTCATACGGAGCAGTGTTTTTCACAAAGTTTTTAAATTCGTTTATTTCCTCAGGCGTAGTCTTACGGAATACGTCGCCGCCGACCACGACCCTGTCCATGAAAGCAGACTGCAATGCTCTGAATTCTTCATTTGTTACATTGATGGGATTTAAGTTCTTCTGGCAAGATTTACAGATGCCCCTATGAAAGTTCAGAGTTAAGTCACCAAAATTCTGGGAATAACTTTCACAGCCTACTTTGCCTCAAGTGCTTGTTTATATGTGAGATAAGCAAGCACTGATAATTGAGAATGAAATGATACATTTTTATGCAGTGTCCACTAGAACCACTTTTGACAATGTTAAACTTGTCATACATAACCTCAAAGTTTCACATCACTGATATGTTTGTGATTGTTAACGTGTAAAAAGAAATTTGAGGCATGCTTGCTATTTATCATACAAAACTGCATATGTCTTAACAGTTATCAACATCAAACTGAAGGTTAAATATTGATTTTACATAGATACGACTTTGGTTCACATTACACAAAAAACTACTCTAGAATTAAGGCATATTACCATATTCAGTTTCTGATAAAAGTCACTAGCTTTCATAGATCATTAGGTTATTATCTGAATCTGACACAATTTAGCATTAGGTACCTTAAGTAGACACAAAATTATAAGCCTATGGAAAAAATATGGAATATTGCAAGTATAAGTGGCTTATGATTAAACAACATTCACATACCTGGCTGTCAGTGTTGTAAACTCAGCGTGTACCTCTGTATTAGGACCCATGGCCTCCAAATACCATGCCCTTATCCGTTCTGCAATGTCCACTGTTGGCTTTAAGTCATTTTCAACAAACACCCGGAGGAACCCTTCTACAAGTTTCCACCTCTGCAGTTTGTGATTTGCAGATGTTCTGTCATAATAATCCAGTTGAGCGTGAAACACCTCTGGTTTTATGTGCCGCCCCAGCTTTAACAATTCATTCACAAGCTGCTGACCTATGTTCAGTTCACCGTTATCATAAGCTGTCTTAACCAAAGCATTGTATGCAAATCCACCAGGAGTACATGTTAATTTAGTCATATCAAGAAGATCCAGACCCAACTTCCAATGTTTTGTTAAACACAGGCCTACAATTGCATTTTCTGCTGTGTACGCATCAAGCACTGGACATCTGGAGCGAAGATCTTCATACATGGACAACACAAGCTGTTCATCGATGCCCTTTGCTCTACATAAATAACACATCTTCATGACCTGTGCTATGGTTGCAATATTGAGTTTCCTGCCAGAAACGCTCAGATGTTCTATGTATGACAAACCCATTTCCAATTGTGTTAATCTTCCACAGATCTCTATTACTACAGCATCTATGTTGTAACAATTTATAATCCTGCTTTTTGCACAAACCTGATCTGTAATGGCTTGCCATTCAGAGGATGAAAGTCGTTCTCCTTTTGTGATAACTGAAACAAGAATATCCTCATCTTGTTCATCATGGAAAGTATTCTCATCATCACTATCACTGTCTGTCTTGTGTTGAGACTTATGTGGATCACAGGCATCGCTCGTTGGATATTCAGGCGAAAATGAGTGTGTTTGGCTTGACAATGAATTTATTCTCAAGGCTGGAAACAGACTCGCAATTCTGTGCTTACTTTTACATATTCTTGTACCTCCACTGTGTAATACAGGCCTCAATATTGCAAGTGTATGCAGGTATTTCTGCAACGAAAATATATACTTCAAATGTCCTACCATGGTGAACATATTCCATTCATTCTGAAATGCAGAAACAATTATCTACAATCACGTTATAATTTAAGGAACACAGTGATGTAATAATATATAAAAGTATTACTGTGTAAATATAGTTTCTGTTACTATTAAGTTTGTGGTAAAGACGAAAAGTTAACCTATTGCCTGACATGTTAAACAAAAACAGAATCTAGTACCGGTTAATGCAAGCAAATATCTACTGAGATTTAACGTTTTCACGGCGATGAAAATGTCAATGTTGTTGGTCTGGGTTCTGTAGCTATGTACACTGAAAACACCAATGTTTTGGAACATGAACTGTCCACTAAACATAATCATCAATTATGACTTACCACAGACTTATATTTCGTAGTTCAGAATATCTGTACCTTTTTTACGATAACAAATTATAATGATTACACATCTTAAAGGCAGAAATCCTGCGATACAGCATGCTAACACTCGCACCAACGCTAAAAGACAACCAACCCCCCCCACACACACACACAGATCCAAGAAGCCTAAATTCACACAATACCAACTTCGCAACACTGAACTTGTGCGAATTACACTCTTAGGTACGTCATCCTTGACTCGTTCCACAGACAACGTACAATCGTAGTCCGTCCCACACAAGAACATGATATAGGATTTGGGGCTTTCAAATTCGTGCGACCAAGGTGTTCGTAATATATTAAGAATAAGGCAATCAAGACTATAAAATTAAATATAGTTTTAAAGTAACTATATTTAATCTTACGCTTTATAAGAGCCGGGATAGCTCAGTCAGTATAGTGACTACGGACTAGACGACCGGGGTTCGATTCCCTACGGGGCAGACGATTTTTCCTGTAGCCTATGCGTCCAGACCGGCTCTGGGGCCCACCCAGCCTCCTCTACAATGGGTACCGGGGTCCTTTCCCGGGGGTAAAGTGCGGCCGGAGCCTGACGCTGACCACTCACCCCCATCTAGTGCCGAGGTCAAGAATGAGTAGGAGCTATACCTTCTCTCCCCCCAAGCGCCTCCATGGCGTATATTGGGACAGCTTTAATTTACTTTTAACAAGGAAAATTACGTGGATACCGTCACGAAAGAGGCTTGAACTGGCGGTCGTGAACCCATTTCGCGATGATGATTCATATATATCGTATTACTTTCGACTTGTTTGAGAAGAATTACATTTACTGCCGATGAAGGGAGGTTGTGACGTCACGCCATGACGTCAGAGCCGTCACTGCCTTCATACTGCTAGAGAAAGGGCTAAGCACTGATCTGGTTTCCAGTTTTGAGTTCGTACCTTTCGCTTTCATTCGCATCCAGACACAGACCACGACGTACTGAAACTAGATCAGAAAACAAGTTTAAGGCTGAAGTCGCTACGAAACACTGCGTGACATCCAGAGGCCAAAGGAGAGTGAAAGTGGATTGTAGGAGGCGTTGCTGTAGTATGAGCGGCTACCTTCACGATGCGACCGGCTTACCCTGGGTTCCGCGACCCTTGAAACTACTTCGTGAAAGATGATAATGTTGCGTCATATTGTGATGATTATAATTGTTTAATTTCAACCGTCTAATCACAATAAAATATTTTATTGTGATTAGACGGTTAAAATTCGTGAAAGATGTTCTACAATTCGAAACGTGTACTACCTCAACTGTCCTATTTTGGAAGCTTCTTATGCTATATTTTGATCGGAGAACGCTTTATGGGCTCGTCCATGAACGTATACGTTTGCAGTGTTCTAGCAAAAATGGGACCTCGCCACACACCTAACCTTACCTAACCTAACTTAACCTAACCTAACGCAACGTAACCTAACCTTACCTAACCTAACCTAACTTAACCTAACCCAACGTAACCTAACCTAACCTACATTACTTCAAACACGAAGTAAGTTCCAACGATACTGATACGCAGCAATGATCTTGGACCACATAAACGAAAGGGCAACTATGACCTCAGATCATGTTAGTGGAACAAGGACTTACAAGACGTGGCGTGAAAAATACCTTTGGAAAGTCAGACAGAAGCCAGCTGATGCTGAGGTCGTGGTGTGATTAACCGAAAGTTTGAAAGGACTGACTGTCAACTAATGGTTTTATGGCATGACCTTGTTCGACAGCCCCTGCAATTGCCTCTCTCTCCATTGATGCCTTAGTGTAAAAGGTTTCGCCGATCTCAGAATTTTACTGTTGGTTCAGACGTCGGTGGTGAAGAGTTCGATTCCAATCTCTTGCTTGTGATACTAACAGTGAAAGAGTTTACCAACACCAACGTCCGTAGAACAAGAACCTTCACGCGGTCCAGAAACAGATTACGATATCGTGATGGTGAAGTTCCGTTACCATGTCCAAAAAGCGGACCATAATCTGAGCCAGCTGAATCCAGCACACACACCTTCGGGTCTCGTTACTTACCCCTTCTCCCCCCCCACCCTCAAGTCTGTGTATGTCACGTGGTCTGTTCAACTTCACTCTTCCTTCCCAATTCCACACTTGTGCTGGGCTAAAAGTCCCGTCAATTTCAGCCACCGCCTATGTTCACTCCAGCTTCCAGATCGTTGGTTCGAATCCCTCTCGAGGCGGATGTAATGGAAAGCTGACGCAAATTTCTCTGAAAAAGACAACACCCTTAGCGTCTCCTTGTATTGTAACAGAAGACAGAAAGAATAAAATTTACGCAGAGCCTTTCCCAGTTTACCGTCCGTCATGTTCAAATATTATCCTCCATAATTTGTTTTCAATAAATTCTACTGATTCTCAATTGTTTTTCTTGAGAATCAATTCAATAATTTCGGCCACTGTTACTATGGACCAAACAGTAATCAAATAAGTGCCAAGGACGACTTGCATTATTTAGTACTCATTAGACCTGCTAATTACTAAGTCATTTATTATCAGAAATATTAGGAGATGCCGCCATTTGTAACACAGATGAAAGTAAGTAACTGTTTCGACACCAGGGGGCTACAGGACCCAATCAATAATTTTACTTGCTGGTAACGAATCCTTTGAAAATATGACAAAGTCCAAACATTTGGGGACGAAAGTGACTAATCAAAATTTCTTTCACGAAAAATTATGATCAGAGTAAATTCGAGAAATGCTTCAATGCAGTTCAGAATCTTTTATCTGCCCTCCTGCTGTCTAAAACGCAAGATTAAAATGTAGAAAACTACTAATTAGGCTTGTTATTTTGTGTACGGATGTGATTGGTCTCTCACATTAAGAAAGGAAGTCAGATTAATGGTTCTTGAGGACAGGGTGCTCAGGAGAATACTTTGATCTAAGTGGGATGAAGTGAAAGGATGCTCAGGAGAACTGCACAATAACGAGATCCATAATTTGCAGTCTTCATAAGACATTATTAGAAAGACAAAATCAAGGAAGATGAGATAGGCCGGACACGTAGCTCGCATAGGAGAGATGAGAAATGCGTAACAAATTTTATGGAAATCCTGAAGGGAAGAGACAACACGGGCGCAGACGGGATGATAATATTAAAATGGATCTTAGGGAAATGGCGATAAAAGATGTGGATTGAAATTTTCTGTCTCAGAATGGAGACCGCTGGCTCGCTAAAAAAATCGGGATTAATAAAAGACTATTAATTCCTTGATCAATTGAATGCACTATTAGCTTCTAAAGAAAGATTCTACTTCGTTAATTGATTAGCTAGTTAGGAAATACTGAACCATAATTTAATTATTTCTGCCCGATATCTGCGAGGTACGAAGTTCAGCAACTACATAAAATAGACTGTGGATTTACATACCCGTTACAATATTTTAATCGTTTTGCTGTAGACAAGACTCAAAACAATTATGAACTCAATTTTAGCTCGCATTTCATTACACGTAGTTTGGTCCAACTTCGTCACAATGAGACAAGATGGATCAATGTACTAACAAGGCTACAGGACATGTTGACCGGAGTTCAATACCCGACAGGCGAAGAGATTTTTCTCCTTTCCACAGCATCAAGGACGGCTCTGGGTCTTACCAAGCCTCATACACACCAATGGTTGGCGACCATGGGCCCATTTTCCGGGATTTTAAGAGAGGAACAAGTAACTTCAAACATTCATAATGTCGTCATGAATTGGTACTGCATCAGCCCGGGGACAGTCAATGTCTTCACGAGGGTGAGAGGCGGGCAGCAGATGTACCAGGGCGGGGCAGCGAAAGTCTACACATCTTCCAACTATTTAATTTGACCCGCGTGATTCCGCGATCACCGTGTTCCTGGTCGGCAGATAATTTGCTTGTGTATAAAAGCCAGCTGGGTCCTACTGACAGCCAGTTCCAACTGGGATCAACAGACAAGTGAACGTCACAGATATGGGTACAAAGGTGAGTGCTGGGGAGATCTTCAGCGACGGAGCGGAGGACGTTCATCGTCACGTCTCCACCGAAGTGATTTTTAGATATTCCAGTTCTGTACTAAAATTTATAGGATGAATTTAATGTTGTCTGATACAAACACTAGCTTTATTATATAACTTATACTGTTTATTTTTTTCTAAAAAAAATACTCATTATTTAACGAAATACGAGCGTCGCCTGTCCACGAATGTAGTGTCATTAAGGACGAAGCGCGTAACCGGCTTATATTTAATTACTGGACCAAGCTCACGATTAAGTACACAATTTGCAACATGGCGCGGTCTCCAGACATGGAGCGTTGCTGTAAATATAACAAATAAGAAATTTCGTAGAGCCTAAAATTGGAAATCTTCGAATCTGGCTAATACCAGTCATTCACACTGAAAAAACAAACCCACTGTGCGCAGAATGTGTAGAGGTATCTAGCTTGAACGGATTTTTCAGATAGATCAAAGCAACGAAAACTCAGTAGAGGGTTCTCGTATACACGCTAATAACACTTCGGATTCTGTAGAAGGCAAAGGATCTAATTTTGCGAGCGCTGTAATGAACCCACGAGAATCTACAAAAGTTGGGAAAATCCTTGTTGTCCATGCAAAAGAGCCCATTACAAAGAAGTTAATTTACTTAGGGAACCCATCAAATTCCATTGAAGTAAAACGGTGGAAAGAGGAATCTTCAAAATCCAAACTGCAGTGCGAAGGAGACGGTACAGAAGTGAAATGCGATGAAATGGCTGAGGTTACGAGTTCTGTTAGGGTCTGATTAGATGACAGAATGTTTCTGTTCAGTGAAATGGAAAGGATGAGAAAGGAGACGCTCGTATCTTAACAAAATGTTGATACCGATCGAATGACCTTGAAATTTGTTTCTCGCCATAACAGAAGAATAATGATTAACAATTATATAACAGTTAATCCTTATTCCAGATTCAGCCTGTTTAAACACGGTGCATAAACACTTTTGCCGTGGTTCCGAAGTCTCTAGTGTTAAACGTAGCTCAATTGTTTTTTTAAGAACTCTTCTCTAAAATGCAACGAAAAGCGTGGACGATGGAAAAACTAATGAATCCTTCGGTAGGATTTGAGGGTTTCAAGGAGTTGAGTCCGATGATGGCTGCCTTCGGGGTTGTTGCGCCGTGTAGTCTGGTAGAAGTTTACCAACGATTCAGAGGTTCTCGCTACCCTCGCCTTGATGATGGAAGCAACAAGGACATCTGAAACGATGGGTGACCTAAAGAGGCGTACAAATTTTATATGATGTATCTTTTTTGTACGTTTAGAATTACGATACAAAATAACAGCTCTGAGAAGTTTAAAACTGTGTTTAAATGTAAGCAGGAAAAGAGATATTACGACTGGCAAGTTTAGTTAAGGATTTATAATATCACGATTGCTTCCTAAGGGTTATTTAAGGCGTAAATTAGAATAAGAAGATATGTAGACTAAATATTGGTCTGAAAGCATGAAGAACAATATCTGAACTGATCTTAGAAGTACAGAGTGTGGTGTTGTGGACCGGATTAATCTGGCTTAAAACAGGAACCAGTAACGGGCTTTTGTGAATACGGTATAACACATTAATGTTCCATAAAAGAAGTGGGATTATTTCTTTAATATCGGTTACATGGATTTAAATTTATATACAGCGAATCATGCAAACAAAATTGGGCCCCAGACGTCATAATATTTCCCCCACTTAATTTAATTTCTTATGAAGCTGCCAATACTTAAAATACATGCGAAAGAACAAGTTCATGGACATTTATTATTAGGCAGTACTTTTAAGAATATCAGGAATGGTTTTGTTAAGTCACTTAAAGTGGGAAGTTAAAGTTTTTGTTTCAATTCGTAGTAACTTTGTCTTCCCCAGTAATGTTGAAACAATAAAAAATAAAGACATATGTGTAGGTCTTGAATCAATCGCATGTAATGAAGGTAGCGGTGTTATTAATGTGGACACCCGAATGGTGTGACGACCTTGCTGTTGCAGGCGCTGATCGTTGCTCTGCTGGCCCTGGTAGCTGCGTGCTCATCAGAGGGACAGAAGCAGCACGAGAAGCGTGGGACGTATGGTGACCAAAGCGGGGCGGGTCTTGCGCCTATAGGAGTCCCGGGGTCAGGCGACGGGGGCCTGTATGCTGCCGGAGTCGGCCAAGGTGGTGGCGTCGTTAACACGTTCACAGTGACGAAACAAATTCCAGTCCCGGTTCCTCAGCCATACCCAGTCCCTGTCCAAAGGAATGTCCCCGTTCGCGTCCCTCACCCCGTCCCTGTGCCGGTCCCTCGTCCTTACCTTGTCCGCATTCCACATCCAGTCCCTGTGCCCATAGACAGACCCGTCCCTGTTACAGTGGAGAGGCCAGTCCCTGTCCCCGTCCCTCATCCAGTGCCTTATCCTGTGCCTAAACCTGTCGGTGTCCCTGTGCCTAAACCCGTCCCAGTACCAGTTCCACACCCCGTTGTAGTACCAAAACCCGTCCCTGTCTACGTCAACACGCCTTCAGTTGTTTCTGGTTCTCTCGGAGGCTTTGGAAGTGGACACGGAGACGGAATCTCTGGAGGGCTACCTTACGGAGGCGGGCCTTCAGGAAATAGTGGAGGCGCCCCCTGGAGTGCAATCTCAGGAGGCGGGCTTTCAGGAAATATTGGAGGCTATCCCTGGAGTGGAATCTCAGGAGGGCTACCATACGGAGGCGGGCCTTCAGGGAATATTGGAGGAGCTCCCTGGAGTGGAAACTCAGGAGGCCTTCCGTACGGAGGTGGAGCTTCTGGAGACCTCAGCTATGGGGGCGGCCCGTCAAATGCAATCTCTGGAGCCGGTCCTTCGAACGGGCACGGAAGTTGGGGGAGGAGATAAACCCCAGCGTCGGGGGTTACTGTAGGTACGCGTGCCCCGGACAAAATTATAGCCACATGTCAAGGATTACAAGATTGGAAAACTCTCTTTTAAAAACTGGTGCATCGAAGCAGCGTTAAATAAAAATTGCATTAAAAATACATATGCAAATTATGCTAATTGAGAGGAGACATAACGTCCTTAAATATGACAAAGTACTTTCTTCACAAGGTGGAAAGTATTTTTGTGTAAATAAATTATTTTAGGTTTTCCATAATAAAATACACGTCGTAAAAGTCGACCATCAGATCTTAATTTGATTCCGTTGTAATCTAGCTTGACCACAAGCAGATTTTCGCTGAAAATAATGACAATTGGTGAATTCCAGTTTTGATATCTTAGTATTGCATTGTTCCACTCTGTACAGCAAGATTAAGAAACTGTGGTATGCTGTCCACAGGACACGCTGTAGCATACTCAGCCAAAATTCAATTCATGGGCAGTACAATATTTCTTCTAATGAAAAATAAGCCACTGTTGAAATATTGTACTTACTACTGAAAAATCACACCACATTATTTCAAAGAGGTAAAGCCATAATGAGAACTTTTTGTGTGTAAATTCGTAGAGTACTAGAGTATCTGACTTTATATTCTTCTTGTTCTGGTCACGGAACTAGGTTAATAAATGACCTTGAAAAATTCTTACGGGAAACAACAGACAGCTCCAGTAGAAATCCCTACCGTAACCCCTGGGCAAGGCAGATGATGAAGCTTCAGGAATGTGTGGTCAGACAGACTCTCATCTAAATACCTGAGGTCTGCAAGTATGGGATTCTGTGAAGTGCTAACAACTCTCTAGCCTCAAGTAACTAGCTGTTTCTTGAGGGGAAGACACCACTCGGAAGACCTAAACACAGATGGAAGGATAATATTAAGAAACAAATACGTTTTGAAGACGTGGACTACATTAATCCAAATGGCGGGTTTCTATGAACACTGTAATGGACCTTCAGAGTCCATAAAATATATTGAATATGTTGACCAGCTGTATTCTACCCAGCAGGTTAGATTTTTCATTCACTGAGAGTAGTCATACTTTTTATCTGAGGCATTGTTTTCTTCCTAATTATTGTCCAACTACAAATTTCTGTCACAGCACACACCTCTGTTCCTGCCGCCTTCATACACTGCAACTCGTAATTATTCGTGTTTTTTCCGTCTAATCACAATTGTTTATAAATAAAATTTATACATAAGATATGAAAATATCATTTACATATTTATGTACCAAATATGTAAATGATATTTTAATATCTTATGTATAAATTTTATTTATAAACAATTGTGATTAGACGGAAAAAACACGAATAATTACATTTTAATTCACAATATGACGCAATTATATCAACTTATGCAACTCGTAAGTTCAATGTAACAATTGCTATCAACGGCTGGAAGGTGACATTTATTTTGAAATACAGTGAATGAGAAGTGAAATTAACTGATAATAAAAAGTGAAGTTTGGTAGGATTCAAGCACTGGTCTCCGAATTAAGTAAACTTGTTTCACTGCAAGAGTTTTCATTAAGTAAAATAGTTCAGTGACGTGTGTCATGTCTAGAAATTATATACAGGCCAATTGTTCCGTAGATTAAATCAGAAATAAAGTGTGTAGTGCTTCTTGTACACAGAGGTTATTATTTTATACTGTAAGTCGCTTAACCCAATGCAAATATAGCTTATGAATCCTTTGAATATTTTGGAAAATAAAAGTGACAAATCAAAATTACTACACTCACAAATAAATTAAGAGTTTAATAAATTGGAGAAGTCCTCTCTGCCACTCACCTTAGCATATTTTGTCCTCAAACTGCGTCCACAGACCGAGTGACCACCGGTTTAAATACTCCTGACTTTAAAAGCCCGTGCATTTGATATTACGTAGTCAGACCAAGTTGTCTTATAGTGCTGTAGAATTCAGACTCGTACAGCATCGGCGGTTTTAGGAAGAAAACGGCAATATAAATCTAATTATACCTACGATGAACCTAGAAAACGACCTTAGAGCGGCCATTTCAAAACTGCAACCTCGGTATGATAAGTTATGTTCACAGACGCAACCACATCCATCCCACTAATCCAGGTATAAAGCGTATATTTTATTACAGTTTTTTAAATTAAATTTATTGAATAATATATAATAAATTATAAAAAAAAAATATACTCATAGCTAAATTTTATGTCAAATCTGGAAGGGGGGGTGAAATTTATGAAATGTTTTAAGGGAGGCGCAAGGTATAAAAGTTTGGGAGTGACCTGGAAAAATCCGCAGCTCCCGACCGCTACTAGAAACTGACTGGTGCCAGTTGACATGCGCGCATGCCTCTTGTTTCCACTAGCAACATTCAGCAGCTGCGAAAGCTCGCGCTCGCATACCAACTCGCCTTCCTGCCCTTGGGCTCCGGTGTCATAACCGGAAATGCTGCCAAAACGTGTAACGTCGTGTTACTTCATTCTTAACCCAGGAGGCTTTCAGATGTTGGCTCCAGGGAACAAATTGCAAAAAGAAAAGAATGAGGGTGAGCGACAAGGTGAGGAGAGGAAGGGTGAAAGAGTGGAGGGTGGGAAGGGGTAAGAACATAGATGAACAGACAGATATTTTCACTTTGGTTAGCAATCCGCCTCGATAGCTTGTATTAGGTTATTATTATTTAGTGTTCTGTCTGACGACAGGTCCATATGAACAGGATCCTTCCATCCTTTTCTCGGACTGGGACCTGTTCATATACGTTCTTGGCAGATGATCCAGAAGTGGTTTGCCATTGCCTTCTTCTGTGTGTGAATGGAGTAATTGTTGGGATGCCACGGAGGAAATCTCCGTGTTGCCTAGACCACGGCCTTGCCCAGCACAAGTTATAAATTCGGGCACCGCCGGGAATCGAACCCGAGACCCCCAGGATTACAAGGCCAGCGTTCTAACCGCTAGACCACCGCTAGGTTTGTATTAGGTACCGTAAAACAATTTCTTTTGCACATGTTTGAGTCCACATAGTGGTAGAATGCACAATTTTGGCGAAACATCCGAGGTTCATACAGAACTATATTCTCTGACATCCCTACCACAGGCTCCTGAAACAGCAGGGGACAAACGGAATCTACACGTACAGAACTGTGTCCACGTGAATCAAAGGATCTCTTCAAGTTTCAGTGTATCTTTGTGACATACTTCGACGCTAATTAAACCACATGTAAAAACACTTTTCTTTAAGACTTTTGTGGTTATGAAGTACCGTTTTCCAGGCACGACAACTCGGTTTTATCTTTTCAAAATCAGTTCTGAAGCGGAATATGCCAGAAGACCTAATCCGTGAAAGCCGAGGGTATGAGGCGAAACTTCGTGTTTCTCTCACGTGGCCAGTGCTTCAAGCCAAGCAGGTTACTTCCTCCACAGTCTATTCGGTTGACTGACCATGGAACCTGTGATTTACGAACTGAAGCAGGTATTATATCAGTGCCTGCAACTTCCTACCTTCATTGGCGCAAGATAACCGAAGGTTCATTACTGTGTTCATAAGACCCTGCCGCTGGTCATTATCGTGAATGCAATGCTCACCCGGAATTGATCACTCCATCTTTTCTTGGTCGACCGATGTCAGGTCTTCCTATTCGCACATAAAGTAGTCCTGTCATGGAGATATTCGTTCCACGTGTTTTAGTTATTCATTTGTTTTTATATAACATCTTTTACAAGATTTTCCGTTTGTATTTTTTTTCATTTCTCCAACCGAGATTTTGTCGAACACAATTCCAAATGCTGTATCCTGGGCGATAACCCGAGACTTCGCGGTGGGACACAACATCCCTTCTAACTAGATTCAAATATTCTGCTCACCACGCTGATCCCATGCTGTTTAGAGTTTGAGAAGAGCATCTTCCTTCTTGGACTGTAAAATGTTAACACTCAGTTCACTGAAGAGAGGGCCAACCCCATTAAGAAGACCGCCAGCTTCTTTACTTACGCCGATCACACGACTGACCATGGGCCAACGACAAGGAATTGATTCCAGCAGAAAGGGTTCTTCACCCCGAGACTAGCCCTGACATCAACCAAAGTAACAATCAACAGGATCTCGGTTGATGTGATGCTTTACCAACATCATCGAATTACCGAAGATTCTCGAGTCTAAACTCTCTTGTCCGTATCGTGGAAACCTTACCTGAACATTTAATATCAGGTGAGATTTAAGGTGAGTGTGAAGATGGCTGTCTTCTGGGTTGTTGCTAGAAGTTTACTGACGTTTCAGAGGTCTTTTCTGCACCCATTCTTCACTTATGACGAAAGCACAAAGCATCTCTGAAACATCAATTGGTTAATTTCTACCATCAACCCATAAGATAGTTATATTCACAAGAAATGATATTATAGCAAATCGACTAATCGATTCATAACACTCGTCATAGAAATGGCTGTTTTAGTGTTCCGGAGTTTCGGAGCATTGAGATATCCTATGAAATGCGTTTGTTGTCGGTGTAATGTGCTTTAGACCAACGAGGAATTGTAAAATGAAACTTACATTATAATTATCTATCACTCGCACTGCCAACAGAATTACCAATATTCATCATGCCATATCACTTACTTACCATAATCACAAGAGAATATTTCAAGCGATGGCCATATTTTTATTTTGCGTTTGTATAAACTGTAAAGTTCTGTTACTATAATTTGCACCTAATGACAGCAGGGGTGTTCACATGCGAAGCCTTTGCATGGTTGCCAACCTTGTTGATGGCTACATGACGCTGTTTCAGAAGCAAATGCTACATTCTACAAATTCTGATAAGAAAAGCTGAGATTGAATGTTGATAAAAAAAAATTAAGCAGACGATGGCGGCTTTTTAAAGTCGCACTGCCTAGAGTGACCGAGGTCAGGGTACATTCAGCTCAAGGGTTGCCAGAAACCCCCTGCTCTGATGGGATACTTCGCTCCTAACTGATAGCTTGCTTACGCTGGTGATAAGAATCATTCGATGTAATGACCGTCTTTGATGAGAATTTCGTAATCCGAAACTGCCATGCGATTACGCAGATACAAAACATATGAATGTGTTACATGTGCGGACAGGAAGGAAGAGAAAGGTGAAAGCGAATGTCATGTAATTTCTTCTCACGTGAACGCTATAAAAGCAAAGCTGCACGTGGTGATATCAGACACCGGTGAACTCGAGCAGACATGGAAGCACTTGTAAGTATAGTGCGGCGAGCTAGTTTTCTTCTAACGTCTTTGTCGGATTCAGGATGAAATCCTGCCATGTTTAAAACTCGAAGTAAATATGAATCGTAATTAATACACACCACTAAATTTTACGCTGAATAATTCAGTATTTTTGTTCAGAGTGGGCACAAAAGAGAGTTGGACGCACGTATGAACGCGGATAGGTCGAAATTACCAGCTGGAATTGCAGTCTCGCTTGAGGCTTGTGCTGTGCATATGAGAGGGTAATATTAAATAAGCTAGGGTATTCAAATCAGAATGCGAAGGTGTTTTCTGGATTCAACTGGCTCAGAACAAAGACCAATGGCAGATTCTTGTGTGCATGGTAATATTCGCTTTAGTTTCATAAGAGGCGGATAATATCTTTGCCTAACTGAGCGACTATCAGCTTCTGAAAAGGTAAACTATATCCGCAACATTTGTCTTAGTTTCGAAGTGACGTACCTGATCCTGCGAGAAGATATTATCATTTTCATTTGTCATGGAAATTGCTTCCCGAAAAAAATTGAGGTAAGTAAGGTAACTAAGTAAGTAAGTCAGTCAGAATCACGGACCTCATTTGAATTTTTCCCGTCGTGCACTTCGACGAGCTTCGTGTAGCTTCTGAGGCGCCATGATCTGCTCAGTTCCGCAGTATCGCAGAGACCTACACATATTAAACTGTATCAATGCCATTGGCAAACGTCTTAAGAACGTATCTTTCGCAAATACTGAGACAGGCCTTTACAAAGTGACTTGACCGATTTCTCGTTCACTTATCGAATGTCACTTCGTATTCCAATTCAACCGAGGAGCATAAATGGCGAACAATATATCTGAGACGCTTAGCAGTCGTGAAGGGAGCGCGGAATAACACATAATTTATTTTAAAAAAATATACGCCCACCGCATACTTAACAGTGACCACGAATGAACGGGGTCCTCGCGAACTGCTGAACGCTCCGACAACTTCCGGGCATCCCTGTTACGAGGGAACTGTCACCGGAAAAATCAATGACCGGACAGACTCTGTAAACACGCGGACATGTGGACATCGGTACGTTACTGACATGAAATGAGCTCGATGTGGGTCGGGATGGTGACAGGGTTCGTCTACCTATCTTCTGATCTGGCCATTTTTGTTGCTTGTGCGCAGGTATTTGTCCTGGTGGCTATGTGCGGTCACGCACTAGCTGGAGAACCGAAGACCCCGAAGACGGAGAAGCGTGGCATCTACGGCCTAGGGTACGGCCACGGCTTGGACAGCTACGGGGGTGGACATCTCCTGGAACACGGAGGTGGATATTCTTTCGGGAGTCTCGGGACCGGCTTGCTAAGTGCCGGCCACGGTCTGGGATACGGCGGAGGAATCGGGCACGGCGGAGGGTTCGGGTACGGCGAGGGGATCGGGTACGGCGGAGGGATCGGGTACGGCGAGGGTCACATCAAAGCCATCACCGTCACCAAGGAAGTCCAGGTCCCTGTGCCACATCCTTACCCAGTTGCCGTAGAAAAGAAAGTGCCCTACCCTGTAAAGGTCCCTGTGCCAGTCCCGGTAGACAGGCCCTACCCTGTCCACATTCCCAAGCCTTACCCAGTGCCTGTGGAGAAGCCGGTTCCATACCCTGTCGAGAAACCCGTTCCCTACCCTGTTAAGGTCCCCGTGAAGGTCCCTTATCCAGTGTCTGTTCCCGTTCACATCCCTAAACCCGTCGCCGTCCCTGTCCCTAGTCCGGTCGTCATCCAAAAGTCTGTCCCAGTTCTATTCAAGGACAGCAGCTTCGGCGGCCTTGACGGGGGTTACGGAGGAATTGGCGGTGCCTACAGCCTGGGACACGAGGGGCTGAGTTTCGGACACTCTTTTGGAGGAGGGTACGGCTTAGGTGGGTACCATCATTAGGTACTGTACCTCACTGACACGCAAGAGACAATCAGCTCTTCAATGGCTGTTGGCAGATACATCAGTCTTCGATTAAGCGTACGCAAAAAAGTATGAGCGGAGTCCTCTCAATTTAATCTTCACGCTATAACATTTACACATGCCGCTGGATACTTAAATACTTTTGGTCATTTCAAAACCTAACATGTTTAAGGTCAGAATTTTCTAGTGACATTCCTTCTTGAGAATGTTCTCCTGCTTTACGCATATGAGAAGAACATTCTCGTAAGTTTCATGCGCCATTGTACTCCTGGAGACAAAGCTCACTCCACTTCAGAACGAGTGCGGTCAGCTGTCACACACACGTCAACTCTGCAAGACACTGGACGGACGGATGGACAGACCACAGCAAATTGTTTCAATTCCTTTGCAATTTCCTCATTATTTAAACAACAACTACGTACTTTCACTTGCATTTTCATGTATTTAGTAGTTTGTAAGATGCAGGAATATTGTGTGTTTCTAAAATGCATCACGATTTATATAAAATGTACAAATATATTTATAATAAAATCAGCAGATTTATTGCTATTTTAAAAGGCATTTATTTTAACATACTAATACAAATCGAATTGCAGCGAGGTTTAAAACAGCCAGACAGTTATTGTTAAAAACTGTTAATTTATTGAAGCTTCAACACTGTCTATAAAGGAGGAACGGAGGTCACTTGTCCACAAGACCGCAAACAACGAAACATGGCAGATTGTAGAGGCGTTTAGAAAAATCTGAACATTTCTGAACTGCTCCTACAAGATTCCAGAAACAACGGCATGGTTAGAACTCTTTGACATTTAATTAATAGGAGCGCACAGCGTAAAGACCAAAGTGTTCGCTCGTCAAACGAGTTTCAAAATACGCACATGTAATTTAGTGGTACGTGCGAGGACGAGATAATCAGATTCATATAAGGAGCTGGAATGTGGATTATTATAATCCTGTCAACACTCCTCATCATATTAGGAATATCTCGGATTCCAGTCCCCACCTGGAGACCTACTGTGCTCATAACCACTACTTATTGGCTGTGCAAGTTCCCTGTAGTACTATGAAGTACGCTCTAGCATCTGGAAATGCTTTACTAAAGCCCTTATGCAAACACCCAAATTCATCATTTGAAATCACCTTCCATCCAGTGCTTATGAAGTAAATTACCTGATAAACTTTTCTTAAATAAGTCAAGACAGCGAACAACCGCGTAATTTTTAATTACGCTACTAATATTATAAAAAGTTCTCGTAAGTCTTCATAAGCAGAATTATTTCCATTCTGTTTCATTTATTTGTAGTCTGTCAGTTCCATTTTAATGCAACCTTCAGATAGTCCCACGAATTGGCTCTTCAACCATCTTGATGTGTTCAACCCATTAAAAGCGATGATTAATGTAACGGGGTAAGGAGATTTATCTGGCCCATGGGTTGGCGAATCGACAGAGGATTACATGATAAAAAAACCAGATGTCAGTGTCTTGGTCACAAATAATTAACTAAATATCTCAACGAATAACCAATAACTTCAAGGGCCAACACTTATCCCGAGTCCTCAGAGGTGAAGCATCCCATCGCACAGGGCAATCACGTGAATGAAACACGTCAAGGTCATTGGTAGCTGGTGATCTGATGACAGGCAAAACCTGGTCCATAACTGAGTCAGGATCGTGTCCACCCCTCACCGACTGTCTTCTACCCACAAAATTCGACAGTATGTAACATAACCAGTGTCCAGATACCACAGCCGAGTAGTTACCACGCCTTCATATAGTGGTCCCGGATTCAAATCCCTATTCTGAAGGCAGTTGCCCTGAGAAACTTCATTTTTTTTAATCTAAAACTTCTTGACGATGGTGAAGAGTCAATTGAATAAAAATTTTCTTGGATATTATCCATCGTCTAGTAAATATAAAACGTAAAACGACGTTTCGGAGATGGGACTCTATCTCCGTCTTCAGGTTCCTACACAGTTGGGCCCACTAGATAGAGCTAATCCCTATCTCCAGAGATCGGGATCCCATCTCCGAAACGTCGTTTTACGTTTTATATTATAAAACGTAAAACGACGTTTCGGAGATGGGACTCTATCTCCGTCTTCAGGTTCCTACACAGCTGGGCCCACTAGATAGAGCTAATCCCTATCTCCGGATCAGTTTTTTTCATAATTGTTTCCAAAATAGTTTTCAAGACTTTAGTTTTAATTAAACCTCTAACATTTTTCTCAGCAGTCTTTCCAATTCTTCATAAATAATCCCATAATTCTGTTATTTCATAACTTGAGAAAATAAAGAAATATTGCAGAGTTAAACCAGAAACCAATTAACAACACTTTCGGTAGGTGTACGATCTTCAAAGTTCCTGAGAATCATTCGAACTGTGGAAATCCTTATACGAGGCAAACAGCCGGGCCTCTGCCGCCAGAGGACAAAGCAGGAACACGTGGAATTCGAAAAATGTTTGAGCAGACCATGGATTTGCCACCACCGGGACTGTCAGTACACGATACAAAGACTTGTCAGTCTTGATTTAACATTTCGCAACTGCACGCTGATAATGTTCGGTGGTCACGTGATGTTTTGCCGACCGCACACTACAATTCCACTCTGAGCATCGGTTTATAAGTTTATTCTAATGGCAGAGACTGACATTTCACCTTTCAATAAGACATATCTTGAAAGGCGGGGTCGTCGAGCTGAAAGTGGTTATTATACAAATCTTAAACGAGTTTTTCGACGTGTCGCCAGAGTCTTGCGAATCAAACAATTCCCCTCGGATGTACATTGCCGTGAAGCGGTTGGTAGTCACTGCTTCATATTAGGGAGGTCCAGGGTTCCAATTGCTGACGACAGGTCCATATGAACAGGATCCTTCCATCGTTTTCTCGGACTGGGACCTGTTCATATACGTTCTTGGCAGATGATCCAGAAGTGGTTTGCCATTGCCTTCTTCTGTGTGTGAATGGAGTAATTGTTGGGATGCCACGGAGGAAAACTCCGTGTTGCCTAGACCACGGCCTTGCCCAACACAAGTTATAAATTCGAACCCGAGACCCCAGGATTACAAAGCCAGCGTTCTAACCGCTAGACCACCGTGGCCATTATTTATTTATTTCGTGTTCTGTCTGACGACAGGGCCATATGAACAGGGTCCTTCCATCCTTTTCTCGGGCTGGGACCTGTTCATATACGTTCTTGGCGGATGATCCAGAAGTGGTTTGCCATTGCCTTCTTCTGTGTGTGAATGGAGTAATTGTTGGGATGCCACGGAGGAAAACTCCGTGTTGCCTAGACCACGGCCTTGCCCAACACAAGTTATAAATTCGGGCACCTGTAGTCATATAGCTTGTCAATGATTAATTTACATATGCAACAAAATATCATCACGGTAAAGCGAGTATCCAGAATGTGTTTGAAACGTATGTGTAAACGAGTCCCTCCTGTCTTCTTGGAATTAACAATTTCTGTCAAGCGTAATTTTCCTTACCACACCAATTTTTTTTAAAACGACATCGGTCGGTATATTCCGTATGCAATAAGGCACCTTTGTCAGGAAATATATATATTGGAATTATAGCCAAGATCAACCTATAAGACGAGCTTAAGTCCTCCAACACGCATAGTTATCTAATGGTAGTTTTTGCCCTGATGTGCTAACCTACTTTCTAATGATACAATTTAATCCACATGATTACAACAGCCTGATTGCTAAACCTCGCAGAAGAAATTGCCTACGGCACGCATGACAAGAATTTAGAGGAATGTGTTATGAAATAGCCGATCTTGTCAGTAAACATTCTGAAGTTTATCACGGGCGAAGACGAACTAAAAATGTGTTACTTCACTCAAAGTTCCCTTCAGATAGAAGACGTCAACCATGTTTGAGGTGGTCTTACAGCGCCAAGTGTGTGAAACGGGCAAACTAATCAGAAACAAGAGAAGAACGAGCTCCGACGGATCGAAAAGGCGAAAGTGTTAGCGTGTGGTTGCTGTTTTGTTTTAAATTCTAGTAGTCGATATAAAAGCAAGTAGCGCTCCTGTCGATAAGCTTACTTGAGTGTTATCAGCGCCATGAGGTTGCATGTGAGTACTTTTGGATATACCGTAAACAGTGAAATACAAGACACCTATTGCAATTAAGAAACGCACAATAGTGTTGATTATTTCGCGAAGGCGTATCATGTATAAATAAAAGCTCTGTGACAGTGTGAAGTGGTCGTGGTTTATTTTAGCACAACGTCCTTTTCATGAGAGACCCCGAAATAACATCGTCTGGCACTGAAACATGAGTCAATAAATTTCAACCCTAGAGGTAACTGTGTACTTTACCTGCAGAATGACCTATCGGTTTTTGTAACTTAAAAACGCTGTGTTTTCTTTGCGGTAGGGACTGGATTGGTAAACATTTTTTTTTTGGACAAGCTTCGGCTTCGAAGGATTAACTGCTGTTTGAAAATACAAATGTGGTGGTAGTTCCCTAACCGTACGTAGGCCCGGAAGATCCCGGTTGTCCTCCTTCGTCCCGGAAAGTGTTTGGTTTATACAGAAATTATATAATGAAGATCAAAAGTGACTTGAATTTTTCCTGAGCCGATACACATATTTAAGATTGTAATTTATAATGTCCTGAATACATAAAATTATAAATTTAGACAGTATCGTAGATTAAAAACCATTTATTATACCATTGTATTTGTCATAATCAGGTATAAATTAAGGAATTATTTATAAGATAAATCACGGCATTCTAACACTGCTTCCGGGTTAACTTCTGAGGCAGGGGAGAGTGGCGAATTTATTTATAAAATTCTGTGTACAAGGGGGATCTAGAAGTAGGCAAAAACTAAGTTTTGAGGGTCTCGCGGTTCTCAAATGTCGATTGTGTTTTTCGGGCTGTGGCGCAGGTGGCTACCGAAATCTCGGAGGAAAGTTGTTATCGAAATCTTCACACTACGTAACGTTTTTTGAAGTTGAATTTTTCTTACAGTGTAAAATAACAAGGCGGTAAGATATATTCTGTACCTAGTCCCAGTGAAAAACTGCAACAAGCAGTGTGACATTGAACATAAGTTCAATTACCTATAAACATGGCGACGGTATGAATCTTTCTAGCCTATTGCATCCGTGCTCATCAACAGATGAACAGGCAGTTCAGCCAATCTCACAGCAGATGCTTTAGGATTCAATACTTCTTCCGTAAAATAAAATAAAATTCTTTATTTTTGAATTTATATTCTTCACTGGACCAGACATCCACCTACAAGCGAAATAAATTATACAAATCAATAACAGCGGAGATTAGATTGTATTGTTACCTGTCATATTTTATTTGAGGAGAATTCATTATAAAAAAAATCCACGTCCCATCGCAGAGGCCTCTCCTTCACTGGAAAATGTGGTCACAAAATGAAGCCCAGAGCGAATTTCTAGCCCACGACAATCCCCAAGGATCTGTCCACTTCGTGGAATCAGTTACCACCGTCTGTCCTGTCCTCAGGTGTGTCTCGTGGTTCTGCTGTTCACTTCGACCTTCGGGGAGAAGGAGAAGGCTAAGAAGGACGCGGAGGAGCCTCCGAAGAAGACCTCATCCACCAAGACAGAGAAGCGCGGTATTGAAGAGCTGATCTACGAACCTCAGCTGTCTGGCGGCTACGCTGGGGGGTTCGGATACGGAGACGCGGGGTACGAGCTGGGGGGTCAGCACAGCCTGGGTCTGCTGGGGTACGGGGCCCACAGCCTGAGTCCCACCAGCCGGATCAAGAGCATTGTCATCACAAAGGAAGTGACAATTCCTGTTCCTCAGCCGTACCCCGTCCCTGTAGAGAGGACAATTCCTTACCCCGTCAAGGTCCCTGTACCTGTTCCCGTTGTGAAGCATTACCCCGTCCCAGTGCCTCGACCTTACCCCATTCATATTGAGAAGAAGGTGCCCTATCCCGTTGAGAAGATCGTTCCGTATCCCGTGAAGGTCCCTGTGAAGGTACCTGTCCCTGTACCTCACCCTGTCCCTGTTTCCAAGCCCTATCCTGTCCCTGTACACGTTCCAGAGCCCGTCATAGTGAAGAACCCGGTGCCAGTTCTTCTCCAGGAACACGGCGGTCTGATCGGCGGCTACGAAGGTATTGCAGGGGACTACGGTTTCGGTGAACACGAAGTCCTTGGCCTCGGCGAAGTCTACGGGGTAACAGGTGACCTCAGTGGAGGTTACGTCCATGGCGAGTACCATTAGAACTCCATTTCGGTCTTCTATACGTCGTCACTAAACATCGAAGAAAAATGTGCCATTCCACGCGCCATTAATACACACCGGAGACTGGAAAATAACTTGAGTTTGTTAAAACTGTATTTAATTAATTTATAATCTAGCTATATATCTGTGTTCTGCAAGATTATTTTCCATAGACACATAACTTCCTTCACATTACACATATTTATATCATACTGTTAACACACGTTCAATGTAATCATTCCAGGTTGAAGTTTTGCTGCATTACAGACGATAACAAGCGACAAGTAAAATGAACAAAAAAACTATAACTTTGTATCTAAGGAAATATTTTTTTACACAGCCTTCCTTTCAAAAAAGGTTCACCTATACCAATAAGCTAGCAGATAGCAAAACTTAATAATTATAAAATCTATTAACATGTTTCCATTCATAATTTTAACCAGCAATCAATTCCCACTGACATAAATATTCCAGACATAACCATAATATCTGTGAACGCCGATGTTTGTATATATAAAAAAAAACATGCTACCACTTGTAGGCGTGTTTATAACACGTACGACGCCATATGACCCTAGATGCCAGGCTCATTACTTACTGCCTGCGTCCGCCACGTTACTTTCAACATAAATGTCATAACCTCGAAACCTGTAGGACGTCTACTGAAATGAAACAACCAGGTTAAAAGCAGTAATTGTTTAACTTTATTATTATTATTTAGTGTTCTGTCTGACGACAGGTCCATATGAACAGGATCCTTCCATCCTTTTCTCGGACTGGGACCTGTTCATATACGTTCTTGGCAGAGATGATCAGAAGTGTATTTATTATTTTAGTGTTCTGTCTGACGACAGGTCCGTATGAACAGGATCCTTCCATCCTTTTCTCGGACTGGGACCTGTTCATATACGTTCTTGGCAGATGATCCAGAAGTGGTTTGCCATTGCCTTCTTCTGTGTGTTAATGGAGTAATTGTTGGGATGCCACAGAGGAAAACTCCGTGTTGCCTAGACCACGGCCTTGCCCAACACAAGTTATAAATCCGGGCACCGCCGGGAATCGAACCCGAGACCCCAGGATTACAAGGCCAGCTACGACTTGTAGGCGTGTTTATGACACGTACGCCGCCATATGACCCTAGATGCCAGGCTCATTACTTACTGCCTGCGTCCGCCACGTTACTTTCTACACAAATGTCATAACCTCGAAACCTGTAGGACGTCTACTGAAATGAAACAACCAGGTTAAAAGCAGTAATTGTTTAACTATGCCCACAAAATTTCATGTAAGTAAGTGTAGTAAACATGACTGATGGTCTGTTAAACACAATACTGAGTAAAATATGTAAACGTGTGAGTGAAATAGCGTAATGAGAGCCTTAATTACTTTTAGTCTTAACCTAATATTAATAGAAAAAATTGAATAGAGGACGATGAGACGCGGTGAATATTAATCTCCGTTCAAAATCCTAGTCTGACATCCTCTGGATCTGATTTATTTTGGTGTGAAATGAGGATAATATTAAAACGCAATGAAATTTCGTGTGGATGTGGAATGGATTCTGCTTAATTATTATACGATCCAATGGATAAATTCTCAAATTCTATAAACCAACGAGTTCTGTAACAACAGTACACTTTGACTAGTCGAGCAGGTTTTGGCTTCGGGAGAAACCGTGTCATGACGTCGGGTTGTAAGACAGTCTGGCTGCTGGGTTAATTCCTTCAGACAACGGTGAAGGCTTGAGACAGGTTCCACGGGGCCGCGTTCACTTTCTGCAGGAAGCGGGGGCAGGGCTTCTGAACTGCCAGCACAGTGAGTGATCTTTCCAGGGCAATGCCATTCTACAAAGATACCAACTATTATCTGTATCCTTGTAAGGAAAGGAGAGTGTGCTCATAATTGACGAACGGTTAATGTATCTGGGGAGAGCATAAAAATTAAAGCTGAGCCCCCATCAGGGATGAAGTTTAGAGCAGGAAGAAGTCAACAAATTCATGTTTATATTCGGGTAAAAAATATATTTTATTGACTGCCTGCATTAAAATGTTTGCGTCGTAGTTTATTTCAGGGCGTTTAACCAACTGCAGAGGTTATTATAACGTATAATGTTACTCTCAACATTTAAAACCTGATGTCAAGAGTACACGATTATATTTCGAGTGTTAGGGGCTAAGAAGAAAGCGGGCGATGGTGTGTTTCAAGGTGAAAAGATCAGGAAAGAGGGATCAAGGGCACGTGTAACTGTTCTCAGCCAATACAGCCGTCCTGGGCAGGATTCAAACCCGGCACCTCAATAACAGAAATCAGAAATTATCTCTCTCTGTGACTGAAATTAGTGAATCTGTAATTTCAGATGTTGTCTTGTTTGAATGTGATATTTGCTATTTTATATATTTATTTGTACAGTCTATACACAAACGTTTGAAGTTTAATGGTGTTGTAAAAATTATATAATATTAAAACATTTGTTGTGTAAAATATTATATTAGCGCTCTTAATCGTAAAGATTAAGAGCGTTAATATAATATTTTACACAACAAATGTTTTAATATTATATAATTTTTTACAACACCAATAAACTTCAAACGTTTGTGTATAGACTGTACAAATAAATATATTTAATCAAACACAAACATGACGCATATAAGATACAAATTTGCTATTTTATTTGAGGGTACAACGAAGCCAAGGACAGAATCACGACATTTGGTCCTCGGAGAGGAGAATTAACCGACGAAGTCAGAACTTACATGAAAAGTAGGTTCACAGCTTGCAGTTGTTCATCTGGAATGGTGACCTTGGCAGAGTAAAGGCAGATGGGATAAGAGCATGCAGACTTAATCCATAACACATAAGTGAGAAATATGATCGCATCAAATGGTTTAATTATAATCATTATGCAAAGAGACCCCTTCGCTGAGGCAGGCATAATGCAAAAATCAGACCAAATTTATGTTAGGAAAGTAAATTAAAAGTTATAAACTTGATTTATCTGGTTCAGAATATTATCTACTGCCCGGTTACACCCAAGGTTCCAAAATAATCACTTCATCTGTGGAATGAATAAAGTTGACAAATGCTGTGTGGCGTAGAATCAATTGTCGCAGGCTGTTTTATCGACGTCACAAGCTGTACCACGTGTTGTCCAAGTCCATACAAAAGAGACGCGCGTTGAACTCACTTTATTGTTCCCTGTGTACAGAAGGCAAATAGTAGACACATCTTAAAAGAAGGCCGTAGCTTGAAGGTAACTACTCGCCTCTATCAAATGCAGAGATGTCCAATTCAAGGGGGCTTAACCACCAATACGACATTTTGTTCTTAGATCTTCGTAATGAGTTACATTAGTCTGGACACACCGAACAGCGCCTTGTGATCCAGTCAGAGTACGAGAGAAAACGCAACTAACATCATGCAACCCGCAACACAGAACAGTAAGATGAGTTGCCTATAAATCACGGCCCTTCAGTATAAAATTTTTTTAACTCTCGTGGCAACTGAATGCAATGAGCCAGCGAGATGAAACCTCAGAAGGTTTTAAAACGCGTTTTATTAAATGTAGAATATGAGCAGTGACTCGATATTTTCGTAAGAAAAAGTAACTCGACACACTTCAGGTTTGTTTAATTTTTATCTCTTAAACATGGTTATTAACATTTTATGTCAAAATAAAATTTTAAATCTATAATAATTTTAAATAAATATAATAAATTTTATATAACAGGTGCACTTGTGCAAATATTACTTTTCTTATCTACTAGTCACGCGGCCGGCGTTATGGAGTCAGAAGTCGAACGTGGCCTACAAATTCCAAAAGATTTCCCACCCCTGGCTTATGGAACAAAGGGCCGCAGCCGATTTTAAAACACAAAGACTTCAATCTGCGACCGTCAAAACTTGATACAAATTAAAGAAAGCCTCAGATGTTTGAATTCATTATTCTTAGTCTGGACGATGAATCCCACGTTAATTAATCTCGGTTAATTACTTACTGTGCAGTAATCATGGGTCTTATAGAAAACGTCAATAGGTGTTACTGGCTTTAAACGCCACTGGTCAGCGCCATTCACTGATTTACTGGGATTTTGTAGTTTTTATCAATCCCTACAGGCAAATGCATGGATAATACATAAAATTAGTCCACGACCACTTCCTTCGACATCCTTTCTAATTCATTATTCAATTTTACCCTCTCACTCCACGCAATATAGTCTGAGACACTGAAAAAGTGAATTTAAATAAACTTTAAATAAATAAATAAATGATTGTCGCAGGCTACAGAGCGGAGTGTCTTCCGAGATAAGTGGAGCGCCGCCATACGATATCCGTCCGCGAACTTCCGCCACACGAAAAGAAAGTTCTGTAGCTCTGCAATTAAGTACCGGCCGCTATAAGAAGGCGAAGGCAAAACATGTGTAGTAATTACCGAAAATCGATTCTGCCCTCGAGAAAATTCTCCCAGAACAAAGGTTTAAGAAACAGACCGATTGAATTTTCGTGGCTTTGAAAGAAAAGTAAAACAAGGTTATGAGCCCTATGTGAGGATCAGACTGTCTTATCACCACAGCCAGAATTAACTTACCAATTACTAAGTCTTATTTCAATAAAGATAAATATTCGAGAGTGAAAGACGAAGATCATCGACCGGAAATAGAGGAACACATCGACACATCTTGAGGAAATGGAGGTAATATTATAAAGTTCTTATGTAAACATGAAAAATTATTGTGGTTATTAACTCATTAACATCAGCATGTCAATTAAGAGACTGCAAATTGTGGAAAAGTCGACATGTGGCAATAATAATAATAAACAAATTAAAACACAGCAATTGCGTTTGTAAACCGAGGATTAAAAAACAATACAAAACGAAACAATTCAATGCACAAACTGACAATCTTGAAATTTCAGTCATTTTATTTACTTCGAGTCTGGGAAATACCTTTGAGGTCAGAGTTCAGACGACTTCAAACCAAATGCCTCAGTGTTAGACCGACTTAAGTCCAGGATAAGTGGATCCCAACATCTGTCCTTTTTACTTTTAACCTGTTGGTTTCTCATTTTATAACATGTTCACGAAATCATTTCCCGTTTAATAACTGTTGATCAATTAGAAGGGCATTCATGGAGTGCCACAAAAGACAACTGATAACTTACCGGCAATATCGAGCGGAGTAATTAACTTTTCATTTTTTTACTTCACGCCAATCAAAAGAGTAATTAGTGAAGTAAGAAATGCACGAGGAAGTTTAAAAGCTGCGAAGGGCTAAAACAATAATAAATAATGAATTATAATGGCACATACCGGCTAT